AAAATTATTTTTTAATTTTTTTCATTCATCTTTATCTCATCCTTTTAAAATTTCTATTTTGAATGTTTTATAATATATATAACATACTAGTACAGTGGTACATGTAAATAATTTATAAATAAATTTACATAGAGGGATGCATGCGCATATCATTTGACTGTCATTGTTTCAGCTGAGACCACCGAGATACTTGAGCTGATCCAACAGCTTACTGCTATCAAAAATGGTCATTTCTGGATTTCTGACTTAATTTTCTGGATAAGCTTGGTTCAGAGAGCAAAATTGGCTTATCTAAGGATCAGCTGAGGGCCAGACTGAAATGGAGAAAGCAGAGGGATTAGGAGGCTGGGTACCAGCGAAGAGAGGGCTGCCTGGTGCTCAGCCCATCTCATAGAACCATACCTCTGAAGTAACTCCCACTCTCCCAGATATTACGAGCGTACATTTTATTCTTAAAGATGGGCACTTCCAGCATCATTATTATTCCTGTTGTGTTAAGCAGTCAGTCATAAAGAACAGTGCTAGCTAGAAATTTCTGAATTTTCAGCTACTATAAATTCAGTCCTCAAATGTTGACTCATCTTTTTAAGCTGACGACAAATAGGATCATGCAAGAAAAAGAGATATGGCTTATGAGATACTATCACCAAAAATTGAGTACAATTGGTGTGGTATGCAAACTCAAGCAGAACTAAAATTCACTTTCAAGGGGAAGAAAGTACACCAGGTCAAAACTAATTTGTAAAATATCTGAATTATATAACTGAATCTCTGAGATTAAGGCTCAGCATTTCTAAAATTCCTGTTTTCACTTTTTTCCTAGCTTTGCCCAGTCCCCTTGCCACACCAAGTATGTCATCTCCTGCATACTCGCCACCCTTGCCAGCTGGAGTGTCTCCACTTCCTCCTCCTATGATCACTTCAGCTTCTCTTCCACTTGTGCCTTCTGCAACAGTTTCTAGCGTTGCACCACCTGTAACTCCTGCCCCACCTCCTGTTACCCCTTCTTTTAGTACCTCCATGTCCCAGTTCTCTGCAGCTCCTCCATTAAGCTCTATTACTGGCCCTGGTCTTCCTACACCTGCTGCTGGTCCCCCCATTTCAGGATTTTCCATGTCTTCAACCTATGACATTACCAGAGGTCATGCTGGTCGAGCACCTCAGAGCCCGCTGATGCCATCATTTTCTGCACCTCCAGTCACAGGTAACTTTCTGTTTGTATGCTTTCATGTTTGTGAGACAGGATGAGGGATCTCCCGGGTGGCTTTTTCCACCACTCTGCTAGAGTCCAGCAAGTTCAGCTTCTTTATTATTCCAGGTATGCTTGATTAATGTAGCTCACTCAGAAGAAGGGAGAGTAGCCTTTGAAATGTACTCATGGTCTAGGACAGAGAGTCCTCTTTAGTAGAGTTCTGCCAGCATTCAGGGTCACAGAAAAATCTTTGTTTGAGAGCTTTATTTTTTGTTAACTTGAACAGGAAAGCCCAGCTGAACATACATACATATCTTTTGTTTACATCTGGGAGTCAACTTCAGCCATTTTATTTCCACAGAATGATATAGTGTCTCAGGCTGTAATCTTATAATTTTCAGGTTTTTGTTCTCAAAAGCTAGATATAACAAGCTGTCCATCACATGAGACCAGCTTCTACTTTCTTGTTTCCAGCCACTACACTGCATTAGGACAGCTAAAAATACATACCTTCCATGCAAGCAATTGCTGTAGTTGCTGAACTGATGTGATTTTCTGCTACTGCAATGGAAACTTGGCTCTTCAACTGCAGTTGGGCCAGGCTTTTACTATTATTGGTGATACCTCTTTTAAGTAGTCTGTATTAGGAAAATGTCTAAAAAGACCTATCATCTGTGTCGTGTAAAATAAAAATAACTCTTGATTAAGGCTAGTGTTGGGAAAATCTATTAAAATAGGCTTGAGTAATGGAGCAAAGGCTTATGCTTAAATTTTGTACTGTTTGAGTTTCTTTTGTTTTCCTTTAAAATATGTAAAGCTATTCATTTGCCTGCTCCTTTTTTTATTGCTGCTAATTTCCACCACTCAGGGTTAGAAAATTTCCTGCTTCTCTCTCTTGTATTATGTATGAGAACATTCCTGTCCCTTTGTTCAGAGAACAACACCCATTCCTCTTTTTCCTCTACTGAGTGCTTATTATGAAAATCTGAATTCAGTAAAAATCACCACTGTTAAACTAACCTGCTAAGAAAAAATCATTGTTTAATTTTATACATAACATACAGGCAGTTTTGGTTCTATTAGCAGATATTGTTGAACTCATTTACGGTAGTTATATTTGCTAACCTTTAACAAGCAGAATCGTTCTGTGGCCTTCAAGAAATTAAGTGAATCAGCCCAGTATTCTTTGATTCTTCCTGCTCATTTTCCTGCAACAATTGCATGTTGCTACAGTATAATGAATTAAATGCAGTAAAATTAATGAACACTTGTGTTTTATTTTTATCTCTTACTAGGTGTTTTGGCAGATCCTATTACTCAACAAGCAACTTTCTCATCATCTTTGGCTCCTGGAACTGGTTCTGCAATCACTTTTCCTGAGGAACATGAAGACCCCAGAGTATCTACTGCCCAAGGTGGAGCACCTGCTGGAGGACTGTGGGGGTTTATAAAGGTATGAGGTTTTGTCTGTTACCCGTCATGAGGAATTACTGCTTTTGCTGACTATAAGACGACGTATCTTTTTTTTGAAATGCATGTTGCTATAAATCCTGTCTTTTCTCCAGCCTCATGTGCCAGGTGGCTGTTTTTAATAGTGGTGTTGGCTGAAACTATGCTTTTGCTCTTCCTCTGTATGGAAGAGGGAGGACTACACAAATGCAGGTGTTCTAGGTTAATTTTAGTCCTTGTGACAGGAAGATATGCATACCTAACAGGTTCTGTCACATATTTTTAAATGGGGTGAAGTTTAGAATCTCTTTGAGACCTGAAAGTTAATTTTTACTTCACAGAGACTGGATGCAGAAAAAGATAGTCCATTTTACTTCACCAGAATTCTTTGCATATCCTGTTTCTTTATCATTTCCCAATGAACTGAGTTTGATTTCTATGGCATGCAAGTCCTGCCTGTTCTATAACAAACAAGTCTCTTCAAGGAGAGACAAGTACATATTTCTTCAATCCAAGAACAGTTTACCTAAGAAGCATCTAAGATATTTTGCAGGATTTTTCTATTCTGCTATAAGGCATGGGGTATATAATACAGAACAGATACTCCTTGTGCAGTCATCTTAGAGAGGAAATAAGCAGCAACATCAACTAGAAGAATTTCATTAGCCTGTAAACTTTTTTGGAGCGGAGACAAATGCTGCATATAAATAACATCATCAAGATTGTGGCAAAAAGGTCTAAGGATTGTGCATGAACGCTGAACTGTCTTCAAGAGCAACACCATTTTCTGTACTGTCTCATACTAAACATGAAGGAAGAATCGAGAAGATTGATGTCCCAGTGGGATTGCAGAGTTTTGGAGGGACTTCCAAGCCCTTTTGAACATGAAAAGCTGGGAGAAAAGTTTTGTGTGATGTGGCAGACTGAGCCCTCCCTTACTCAGGAATACACATCTTTACAGTGATACAGTCTTAAAGAGCAAGATTAATCCTCCATCAGTATGGTGAGAGCACAGTTGTCATATTGCCCTTTTCAAGGAGAGATGTCTTCTCATGATCATAAAGACACATCATCTTTCTTCCTTTAAATAATAATGTCCTCCTCTCAGTCACTGTATTCCTTTTAATATTTGCAGTACATGGTAATGTTCCAGCAGAGAACATATTTCTTGTAACACGATTCTGTAGCCCTTTCGAAAGTACCAGAGGTGCAATTGCAAATTAGTTGAAAAGCCAATTTCATCCACATTACTGTTGCTTTTATACCAGTAGGATCCAAAAGGTGTCCTGTTTCTAGTTATGGAGAAGGTCTGTATCATTGACTTCAATAATCTGGATTTTGGTTGAAGTATTAAGCATTCCATGTGCTCTGTGTTCAGTGACTTCTTTTTGAGAATTTCCTAGGTGGAAGAATGACAAATCATTAATTATGCTGAAGCCACCAAGTTCTTGATGTGTGCAAGCACACATCAGAGTCTGTGTTTTTTAAAGGTGAGGCAGAATGTGGGAGACTAACTGGTAATTATTACAGAAATGCATCCTGGATTCCCTGTTGAAGAACTTACACAGTAGTTGCAGCAGTTATCTTTATTTCTGTTCTTGAAGTAGTTTGAACTAATGTTTTTCCTCTGGTGTTCTTAAGAAATCATACACCTTTCTTCCAGATTTCCTTCAAGCTAGATAATATCCAAGACTGTGACAATCTAAAATTGACAAATTAATGGTCTAGATTAAATGAGACTGTTTTAAGTTCCTTTAATCTTTCAAAGATGGCTGAGCAGTCTCATAGCAGTTCAAAGATTGGTTTCTACGTAATATATCAGAGACAAAGTTGGATACTATTGCAGTCATTGTACCTCACAGTTTGCTTATTTGACTGTTTGAGCAATGAAGATGACCAGGACCTGAATTTTCAAAATATTTGTGTTTGTGCTCTGCCAATGTGGAAGATTCTTCATTTGAGCAATTTGGATTTATGTTGACTTAGAATTGACTCGGTAGAAATTCCAATCTTAACTGCATTATGGTTCACAGTGTTGTGATTACTTCATGTTTTGCATTGGTGTAAAACTATGGATTATTTCTCTCTGCTTCTGCTAGGCTGATGAACACAAAGACATCTTGCACAGGTAGAAGAAGCAGTTTTTTGCTGCTCAGGAGCCTGATTATCTGCAGGAGATGTATAATGTCTTTGTGTTAGTTAGGCAGTCAGGCTGCTGATGGGAGAAGTACTGCTTGGCTTTGCATTACTGGAAAGATACTAGAACTGGAAATTCCTACTGAAAATGTTTCTGAGGATCTCATAGCATTCATTCAGTTTTTGTTAAAACAACAGACAAGCTTCAAATTGTGAAAGAGCTGAGAGAGGAATATAAACTTGCCTGTTTTTGATGGCATCCTGTGGGTACATGAGTAGTCACAAGAGGGTATGTATTACTTAGTGAACACTACCATTCAGAAAAGCCTTATGTTACGTTCATGAGAAACAAGTGGCTACAGTGGGCTCTAACTTGAAAAAGCTTAATTGTGCTAGAGTGAGTAATTATTTTGTTTTATTTACCAAATTCTACAGTCAGGCTTAGTGATCTACACAGTGGTGAGAACAGTACTTGAACCTAGTAATGAACTATTTCGACGTGAGGCATGGGCTAAGATAATCATTATAGATAGCTATACAATATATCAGTAGTTGTAGAAGCGTGAGCTGTTTTGTTTTTTTCTTTGTTAAGCTTGTTACAAAGAAATAGAAAGCATTCAAAAGCTGGAAGGGGCTTTGAGCAACCTGATCTAGTGGAAGTTATCCCCACCTATGGCAGTGGGATCAATACTAGGTGATCTTGAAGCTCCCTTGAAACCCAAACGATTCTATGATTTGTGGGAAAGAAGGTTTGCTGAGCAAAAGTTAGAAATTCTGAGATAATTAAAACTACTCTGATTTTGCAGTTCTCTGAAATGCTGTGTAGATGTGTTAAGCCAGCACTTTCCGGAATAATGTATGTGCATAGTATTGTCCTGTGTAATGCTTGCCATTTATTGAAACAAATACAAGTGTATGCAGTTTTCATATTAGACTGAAAGCTGTCTGTTTACTAAAGAAATTTTGTAAAAGATTTCTGTAAAATAGTTTCCAGTTCTTTATCTCTCAGTGATTCAGCATTGGTATCTTTCTCTTTCACCCTGTAACCTTATCTGAATTTAAATAAACTTTTGACAAGATACAGACATTTATTAAGACCATTTGCAGGACACAGGACAGTGTGTTTATATTTGATGAACTTTTAGGTCTGTGAGCAGCTCCACCTATTGTTTGGCTGGAGAATGTAGAACATTTTTCCAGCAGTGTTTATAAATTTCGGACTTTCAGCTCAATTGCTGTAGAAATATTTGTTAGTAATGGGCCATTCAAAAATAGATCCTATTGCCTTTAAAAAGATTAGAAGATTAGAGACTTTTCAACTAGAGTTATCACAGTCTAAATCTAGCTACCTAGTCTGATACCACCTCTAATTACCATTGAGAATCTACAACTTTGCTAAATGCTCAAGGCTTCCAGTCCCTGAATAGGACTAGATCAAGTGTGTTGCCCACCATCACTGATGGGGCTGCTTCTGCATTAATGCAGAAGAGGATGATCAAGATGATATTTGAACTTTGTTGTAACTGAAAACTCAGGCACTGATAGTCATATCCTGTAGCATTTGAGCTGAGGAGTGAGATACTATAGGTGTTACAAGGTGTAAATGTGGTAAGAAGAACACAAAGCAGCTTAATATTTGGGTTTTGTTTGGTTGTGGGTTTTTTTAACTGTAACATTTTTGTTTTCTTGGGAGAAAAAACCCAGAAGATAATACGGAAATCTATTTGCTTAAATTTAGGGTGTAGCTGAGAATCCCATGGTGAAGTCTGTTCTTGATAAAACCAAACATTCAGTGGAGACCATGATTACGACGCTGGATCCTGGCATGGTTCCCTATATCAGTAAGTACATGTGACAGTTAAGTAATACATGTAAATGTTAGAGAGGTTAATATAATAGCACACTACTTTTATACTTGAAGTTTCTATATGTAGTGTGTTAATTCAAAGTCACAACGCTGTACTGATTTCTAAAGCGTATTGTCCAGTAAAACTCCCTCTGGAGGGAGGGACTTTTTATGTGTGTCTTGAGGTTTATTTGATTTTCCTATTCTACTGTAGTTCAGGTAGTGGCATAGTAATATCCTTTACTTCAGATTATGAAAGATGAGAAAATTAAAAAGAAAAAAAACTAATGAAGAGACCTTGTCTATAATCGCTAAGTTGCATGATGTTTTCTCCCACTGTATCTCTAAACCTTATGGAGTTGAGTTTAAAATACACTGTGTGTGTTCTGTTGGATCACATGCTTAAATACTACTGTGTAAGCTATCACATTAAATTTAAAACAAGCCAAAAGGTAGGCATACTCAGAGAGGCATAGACCCAAGGTATTTACATAGCTTTTGAGGTTGTCTTCTGACTTTCAGCTGTTCTACTTTTCTAGCCTAATAGTATTTATACTGTTTTTAGGAAATTCAGCAAACTTGAAGCACTTCCTGAATCAGTTAGTAGGGATGTTAAAATTATGAAATGGTCTAATGAAATCTGAATTGCTGAGCATTGAGCCTGGAAGGAAAAGCATAGCAATTCAGTTACGGCTTGAAAATTAATAGGAAGGAGAAGCATTGTGGTATTCACCATTTTTTGTTTTGCTAGAGTACATTGCAAGTCATATATAACAGACCTGAGATTTCTAATTCATTAAAATGGGGAAGCAAAAGACATCATTTGTCCAGGGAGGTGGTTTGGGTTTTATTTGTTAGGTTGGTTTTTTTTTCCTTCCAGCAGTCTCGTAAGCAGTCCTCCGTCTTAGTTGTGCCAGTACTGCCCTTTGTCTGCATGTAGGTGGAGCTGGTCAGGAAACTGGTAAGGCTGAGAAGAAACTCTTTTTCGGCTGGACCTATTCTGTGATCCAGCTAACCACGCTGCTGGACTATTGTACTAATCCAGTGGACAATATGTGGAATAAAAGGGGAAGATGACCTAATTATTGAGTAGTAGTTAATTGTCTTACATTTAAGGGAGAGTATCCCAGCAGCTGACTAGTGAGGAGATAGTGGGATATGAAATCGGTGAGAAGGCTAGCCGGCTACTCAGGAAGTATTTGAGGGAGTAGTGGGATGGAATGCAAAGCTACAGTAAATATTAATTATGCAGAATTGGGCAAACTGTATTTGAGGTTTCTATTGCAGTTGTGACCATCCCTTTTTTAAAATAGGCTCTGTCAGTATCCAATGATGATTTGGATAGTTTAACACAGTATTCATTGGACAGAACAATGCTACCTGTAGGAGGAAGTAATTCTAATAAAATGCTTTGCTTGTAAGATTCAGTTAAAGTAAGTGAATTCAGTGAGATTCAGTTAAACTAAGTGAATTCAGTGAGATTCAGTTAAACTAAGTGAATTCAGTGAGATTCAGTTAAAGTAAGTGAATTCAGTGATTATCTCAAAGTTCGCTAAAGTTGTGTTGGAAGGAAAACCATCTGTATACAACTTGGCCATTAATAGATTGCGTTTTTTTTTGTAGTTGCAGGCTGTGGAAATAGGGCAGAGATTTGTAAACTTAGAAAATATTTCTAGAAGGAAGTAAATACTGGGATCAACAAAAGCCATGTCCTCAACAAGTGGCCCCACTTATCTCTACTCTGTCTCCACTGCTGCAATTCCAAACAGATTTCAGATTCCTCACGCCAGACCCTGAAATTACCAAAGCTTCTGGATGAGGTGGTTGAATTTTTTTTCTTTTTTTCGTGTGGGCAAATAGTATTTCTGTAATCTCTTTCTTGAAAAGAGCTGAACTGCTTATGTCACCTGAGGCAAGCACCTGGAATAGAAAATTTCTGTTTGCACAAGAAATGGTCACCTTATAAGCATAAACATCAATGCCTTTATAACAGTAGACAACAGGGAATCTTAAATTGTATGTGGAACTGTCATTTCAGTTCATAATACTCAAGGTACAATGAAATTTCATGTTCACGTGTCAGAGCTTAACTTACTGTGACACTTCTGCCTCTGAATTTACCCTGGTAAGTGTATCTGATATTTATATTCTATTTTATTTTTTCTTACATTATATTTTGTTAATTCTTATCTTTATTTCCATATTACCATAGCGTGAGACAGATCTTGTCACAAATTGTTCCTCTTTGTTTCTCTTCTCTAATGTCTGTAATGAACAAAGATATGCTTTTGATATATGATGATTTTAATACAAAAGAACATAATCTGTATTCTGCTGTTGCAATATACAAACATGGGACACAGTTACCATTCTTAAGTTACTATGCAGTAATTTACTAGGTACGTTATGGGTTAGTTTTTAGTTGCATTAAAAACTCTTTTAACAGTTTTTCTACCCCTGGGCACTCAAACAAGGCTGACCTCAGGAAAAGCCTGCAGTCAATTTTAAGCACTTGTTTACTTATGTTAACTTGATTTCTAGAAGGATTCATTCAAGAAGGAATGGATCAATGAAAAAAGATACTCTCAATAATTTTTTTAAATGTTTAAAACAATTGCCCAGAGTTCAGTGATGTGTATGCCCAGTTCCATTCAGTAAAGCAATTGAGAAATAAAAAGTTAAAAAATAGCCTAAAAAATAAATAGAATGTTTTACTACTGTACTAGTGTATCTTTGGCGATTCTTCATAAAAAGGTGTTTCCTGTAACTGAGGTCTGCTAAGTAACACGAGCCAAAGAATAAATTGTTCTTTTCTTTAAAATTTAAGCTTCAGACTTGCCATTATCAATGGAGGAATTTTTCTTACATCAGGCTAAATGCTGCAAACTTTGGCCGCATATGTAGTTAGGTGGAATGTTAGCATTTAGAATCAAAACCACTGGGCTCTGCTCTTTTTTCTTTTAAGAGGCAGCTTAACATGTTTTTGTACAGTCAATGGGCCTGGGACATCTGCATTCTTGGTCTGTTTCATAAGGGGGAGTTTGCGTGTCACACCAACATTCCTTACCACTTCCCAGAACACCAAAACGTCCTTAGAAATGGATGTCTGGGTTGTTCTTCTAAATCCATGAATTGTCATATTAAATGAGTGGTATGCTTTTTTTCAGGTGCTGAACAACCATCAGTTCCTGTTGTCTGTCTTTCATCCATGAATCACTTAGCTATTCATCTTACTTCTACTTCTTAAATTAATTCTGCTTCATGAACAACTTTTGTACAGTCCATGAGAAAGAGAAGACCAACTGAAGCATACTCTTAAGATGTAGAATGTATTTGAACTGTCTTATAATGGGAGTGAGGAAAAATACATGCACATACATATCTCTTTCTCCGTATTTTACAGAAACTGGGGGAGAACTGGACATAGTGGTTACTTCTAATAAAGAGGTAAAAGTCGCAGCAATTCGAGATGCCTTTCAAGAAGTCTTTGGAATGGCCGTTGTTACTGGAGAGGCTGCACAGTCTAACATTGCACCGCAACCTGTGGGCTATGCTGCAGGTTTAAAAGTAAGTTGAAACATAACAGTACTAAAGTACCTCCAGTGCGAAGAGAGGGTGTGGAAACATTCACTCAGAAAAATCTGATTTTCTGTAAAAGGAAGGTCAATTTGTGGGACAGGTAGACATTTCCCTTTTTCTTTTTTTTTTTTTTTCTTTTAGCCATCTGGATCATTAGATCAGTTTAAAGCTGCGTGTTGAAATAGCTTTTGGGTTTTTTTGCAAACACATTCACAGCAAATGAAGAACATTTTGTCAATTTTCTTATACTGTCATTGATTGCTGTTACACATAGCATACATTGTGATACTACTGTAGTTTCAAAGTATATCAAAAGCATTTCTTCTTAGTCTATTACTAGACCATGTTGGGGATGTTAGAAATTAAGAGACTCTTTGAGACTTGAGTTGTCTCCCTACTAATTCTGTAGATCAAAGATAGTTTGATCAATACTGGACGTAGACCTTCCTGAACAGATCTATATTGTGTTTAAAATGTAAGAATTCACTGTGCAGCCTTGAAAACAGCTGTGCTGGCCCAGAGGAGGGTTAGCAAGATTGTTTCACCAGATTTTAAAAATGTACATGTTCGTCAGGTGTTTTCTATGTGCAACCACTTCCTTGGCCAATAACTAAAAACCCTGAAACCAACTATTTAGTATTCTGTTTCTTAAATGAAAGCAAATCATTTACTCATTTAAAAGGAAATATTTTCTCCTAACTGCTGTGACAGTGTTCACAGCTGAGTAAAGCCTATCCCCATAGCAGTGTATTAGCTGATACAATTTTATATTGAGGTGAAGGAGGATAATGTGTATGTTCCTTTACCTGTTTAGCTACTGCAATGCAGTATTAGTAGTATTTCTATTACAACTTCAGAGTGATAACAGGTTTGGAGTGAATGATTACTGCATCTTAGTTGATTAGGTACCACAGCAAAGAGATTCTCTCCCTTGGTCTTACAAAGTTGGTCCAAAGCTCTTAAAGGATCTAAACCCTAAATCTTAAGCTGCAGAAATGCCTATGTAAGTAACGTGAACATATACTGACGCTTTAACTAATCGTGAAACTTGGCAGAGTTACAGGTTAGGAATCCTTTGCATGCTAAGCTAGGTCTTTTTCATAGAAAAATAACAAACTGAAAATATTTAATTATTTTTGTCATAGTTTTTGTTACTGTTTGAGATTCCATTATAGCTTTTCATGAGTTTTGTTTTTTGTTTTTCTAACATTGAAATGAGTAATTTTTCAAAATCTCTCCTATTTTCCGTTTAACTTGAGAACTATGTTCTAGAGTTCTTTTTGCATTCATCTATAAGCATTGCGCTATGTTGTGATTCAAAGAGAATGTCGTCTAACAGCTTATGTTACTAACTAGGGAGCCCAAGAAAGGATAGACAGCTTGCGTCGAACAGGAGTAATACATGAAAAGCAGCCTGCTGTATCAGTAGAAAACTTCATTGAGGAATTGCTTCCTGACAAGTGAGAACTTTCAATATATTTGGGGTGGGGGGGAATATTCTTTGTTGACTCAAAGGGACCTGTAAAGACTTGCTGCAGTATCACTCAGAAGAAGAAAGGAGAGAGTCTATCTTCAGTATTGCTTTGGTAGACTTCATTTGGGTGACGATTTTTAGCTTTTTATCCAGATATCTTGAAACTTTAATATACAAAATCCTTTTATATATTACTCATTTTCCTTTCACCGAGAAGGTACTTAATACTTTTAATTTGCACTACACAGACATAACAATGGTGTTTTCAAATACATTACAATTTGATTTTGTAACATGCTTTTTGACAGACAGTTCTTAAAGTAGCTTTGTAATTAATTTCCAAAATATTAAGGACAATGTTGTGTTTTTCTTAATGCAAACTTAAATAGTTTTTTCCTAATGTTTGCATTTTTGTTCATGTGATGGGCTTTGATTTTTTTTTTTTTTTTTTTTGGACACATATTCTGCTCTTGCTCCATCTTTAAAGGTACATTTATTATCCTTAGTGGAAGATGGATGGTGAATTTTCTAAAGTAGATAGAATTAGGCAGTGTTCTAATTTTTGTTTAGTATTTATTTCCATCTAGTCTGATCTAGATGTTCTATCATATTTCCACAAAGGAGTAACTTATGACAATGAGATCTCTGTTTCAAACTAATTACTGTTCTCGTCCTTTGAATTTACTCATTCCTAAATCTGAAAATGTTGCTTAAAGTACTCAACATGAAAGAGCTCATCCAGGACTGCAGCGTTATTGAAAGAAATGCTAGCTCTTCTGTCCACATGTTACAGGCCCCAAGAATGCCATGATCTTCGATATTAGTTACAGTAGAAACGAAGTGTAACTTAATGCATTCTTTGATTTTTATTCAGTAGGCAACACTGAAAGCTTCCTTGCATGGTGTTACAAAAAACATTTCAACTATTTTTGGCCTTTGTTTTTTTTCTGCAGTGAAATGAGAGGTCATGGTGCTAGTAATTAATTATTATTCTGAAGTGAGCATTGTAGTGTTACAGTTCTAATATGGGGGATGCAGTCAGTGTTTTGCTGGTACTGCTTACCAAACTTAGGCACGTCCAAAGGAGAGGAGTTTCCAAGTAACCACCCACCAATACTAAGACCTCTGCACCTAACACTTAACAGATCCCTTGCTGCTCACAGCTAGGCTTCTCAGCTGTCCATCAGACAGCTGAAGGACATTACTCCCCTTTCCAATTGCATGTCCTGAATGCTGTTTGCAGAAAAGGTTGCAAAAGCTTTTATGTGTGTTTTACCCTTTAGACTCTAACTCCTTATTAATTGGGAGCAAGTTATATTTAACCATAAAGCTTTCTCAACAGTCTTTCATAGTTGCAAGTGAGGTAGTTCTCTATCACAGAACATTCCAGTGCTCTGTTCCCTGCTACAAAGATGATGCAAGTGAAGTACTTCTTCCTGTCTTACCCCACTAAACTCTTAACATGAAGCTTACATGGCCCTGCCAGTCACTTCTTAAATTGGAGTCTTGCATTTCTTTTTGTAACAACATCCTTGCATCCCATGCTTTAAAGAATAAAATACAATTTATATGTAGACATGTATATAATATATATGAAGCAACAACTACAATAATACTTTCCTTTTTAAGTCTTCTATGATTCTTGGCCTTGATTTTGTGTTTGTAATTTCCCTGGAGTATGTTTCTCCTGTGACAACTCAAGTGTAAAACTGTTACAGGAGTTGAATACAGTGAGGTAGTGATGATGCATTGCTCTTGGTTTTATTTGGATCATGTCAGTGTTGTCAGTTTGTTGATAGGGAGAAATGATTTAATGTTTTTGCAAGCTAGATAGGGAATCATTTCAGGTACTGCTTCAGTAGCCTTTACTGTGTCTGTTACAGCAGGGATCATCTTTTCTGAAAGGTGCAGAAGGGTTTTCTCTGCATAAATCATTTATATGATTGCTATAGAATTAGACACACCAAAAAAATCTTCTGAATATAGAACATGAATTATAAATAGATTTTTTTTTTTTAATTGTTAGGGAAGGTTATCTTAATGAGAAACATTCTTTCAAAGATTGAATGAAAACTGTGGCATAATAAATATGGGCAAAAGAACTTATCTTCACACAAGCCCACCCCACCAGCTTTCTTTGTTTCTTTGATCTGTAAGTTTCGTGTATTTTATATATTTTTATGTATATTATGTATTTTACATGCATACACATGCACTGTAATTTTATATATATATATTTAAGAATTGATATATGCAAATTTTACTTGAAAAACACTAGAACACTTTGGTGAAACTCATTATTACATTCGTACTACCTCTGTAGTAAAATTTGTAAAGTGGTCGTAATTGAACTGCTAACATGTTGTTTTTCCAATGAGTGATACTCAGTACTCAAAAGTAAGGTAACTTACACTTCATGCAGGTGGTTTGACATTGGATGTTTGATTATTGAGGATCCAATTCATGGAATTCATCTGGAAGCTTTTACCCAAGCAACACCAGTGCCTTTGCATTTTTTTTGGTGAGTTTTCAGTTTTCTTACCAATGTTGAATTAAGAGCTGAGACATAAGACTTAAGTTTTCAGTTCATTAATGATTCCAATTCGTACTGACAGTTGCTCCACTTGAATGTTTTAATTTATGAAATAAGGATAAAAACTATTTTTTAGTCATGTTTATGTAGTACCTAAAAATCTTTAGGCATTTGTGGTAAAGCAATTCTTGATCAATAGTCTCATTCTACAATATATGGCACTGGGAAACATGGGTTTTACTTTTCTATTAGCAAAGAAGAAATATTTCAAGAATAAATTAACCAAGAGGAAATATTTACCAAGAAGAAATTAACCACAAAGAAATACTTCCTCAAAAAGCAAATGCAACTTTAATCATAGAAATATTGTCATCATTGAGATCTTGCCACTCAATTTTTAATAACGCTCATAAAGCCTTGGTAGTTATGTTGTTGGTTACCAGCAAACAGACCGCATACTGTACTGATTAGTATTCTGAAAACACATTCCTGGTAAATAAAGGATACCCCTTCTTCAAATCTGTGCTTGGACTTAATTCCACCATGAACATATAGACTCTCACCTAAAAGGCAAGACTGGTTTCCTCTTCTGACTCTGGTATTCTGACAAGGATGTAAAATTTCTGAAATGGTAAGATTTAAATCTTGGAAATATCATGGTTCGTCCCACCAAAATAATGCAGTACGGTGCAGTTATTAAATATCACCAATAGAAGTTTTTCATGAGATTGTTTCGTTTTCATGATTTTCGGGCACACGCTGGGAATTAGTCCTGGCTCCAGTCACTGTATGTGGCCTGACTGGAGATACGAGTCATATATTAGTTAACTCTGGTCTGAAAATTCTTTTAAAATAAATGTTTTCGTGAAGAATTTCAAAACAAAACTGTTTGGGGTTTGATCCTCAGGGAGTTGTTTTGAGAAAAAAAAATAGTAACTGTTTAATTTTTATTTTTTTTTGGTAGTACCAATTCCAATAGAGTGAACATTTGTGGAATTTGGTTTTGTTCTTGTTTTTCAGGGTTCTTACAACTTTGAAAAGCTGATGAGTTGACTAAATAATCTTTAATTCATTGACTAATAATCTTTAAAAGTCCCTTCCAACCCAAACCATTCTGTGATGCTATGAAAACAGGCATGGCAATGTGAAGTTACTACTTAAATAATTGTCGTATTCTCTATGGAGCATTGATATGAACTAAACTATTTTTTAAACATAAAGCACAATAGATATCTTTTTTTTTCACAGAATTTTCTCTATTTTGTCATTTAAAACCTGTAATTAATAGCTTAACTTTTTGAGTATTTTGTTCTCGTAGGTGAACATACTTTGTAACTTTGAAGTGTAGTGTTTACCATGTAATAGCAGAAAACATTCTTGTTTTAACTTTTATGTAACCCATGTAGCGTATAGCTTGGTGTATAGTACAGAGTCAGTGGAACTATAAGCCTTTAAACTTGAATTAGATCAAATTCAACTCTCTATGTAAAGAAAACTATTTCTGTATATAAATGAACAGGAAAACATAGCTTTGTTTCATGCCTTCAGAGTTAAATTTTCCTAGTCTTGCTATTGTATATTTCAGTTAACTTACGTGTAATGTGTGGTGGTGAATCACTGGGCTCTTGCTTGTGTGTGTGCACCAGCTATTCCCTTTGTTCCCATTATGTCTCTTCTAGAATCAGAGTGGGTTTCTCTCAAGGGTGTGCAAGAAACATACGTTTGTGTAAATCCAGTCCAATATCTTTAAGAAAAATCTAGTTTATGACAGGAAATTATGTTCCTTGCAATTATGTTCCTTGAAATTCTTATTGGCTATGTGTTTTATTGTTGTATATAATGGAAATAGTGGTGAAACTGTCTGTGTAGAATAGATACTCTTTTGTTAATGTCTTTACCAATGGCATGGAGTTTTCTGAGCACATAATGTGAGACCCATGGTTGTTCATAACTCTAAATGTTGCTTGATTTGAGGAAGTAAAAAGGTGGATTTGACAGCTTTCTTTGAGAACCTTTATCTGTTAAGAGACCAGGTGTCACCCTGTTTTTGCTGAGCCAGAAATTGCAAGCATGATGGGAAACTACTGCAAGTTTATTTTATTTGAAGTTTACTGATTTTTAGCAGTAAAAATACCAAATAATTAATTTATGAAGTTAGCTGCAATTGTGGATCATAATGGAGATGTCATCATCAGATATTCAGTCCCTACTTATAGCTAGATGCACCCTTATGTACTTCTTACAGCCTATACATTCTGACTAATAAGGAAAATTTCCTGTTTCTTTGCTTAAGGTATCTGCCTTTTATGTACCTCTTGGTAATAAGAAGTTATTTCGATATTGGAGCAGACTGCATATTCTGACAAACTTATATATGCTGTTATTGATGCAAGACAGTAGTTTTGGGAAGACTGGAACACAGTAATGAACTTTGATCTGCTGTACGTTCACTGGAAACAAGACTAACTCAAATATTTGTCAAAATGAAATCTGTATGAAGAATTGGGCCCAATGTGCAATGCTACAAAGAACTGAGTAATACTAAGAACAGTCTTGTTGAGGCTAAAAGTCTTCAACCCTTCAGTGTATGCAACAGTGGCCAGAGGTGGTTGCCTAGGATGAGCATTAGACCAGATAAATGCAGTGATACTTCCCCCACTCTTTGCGTTCTGCTCCCAGCTTAGGGAATTACAGCATGTAATCCCTCTGTGATCTCATACAAATAGCTCAGTTCTCCATTTCTGCCAGGCTCAGCTTTCTTCTTATACTTGTCTCATTGCCTGTTTCAGAGGGACATTTTAACCAGTTTTAAAACTTTTGGAGGGTAAGAGTCATTGTATAAATACGTAAAATTATTGATTCCATCTGTTGGCCACTTTAAAAGAGAAAACTAATTCCTGGTAATGGCAGAATCTTTACTCTGTTAAGCATTGCATTTTAGTTTTATACTGTTCAGATGTCATTTGGATCATGATACATACAAATTCAGAAAGTAGAATTGGCTAGGCAAATGATGGGGCAGTCTGAAATTTGGGTTCTGATACCCTTTAATTTGCCACGTAATCCTATTGAAATAAGAATGATAACTTATGAAAGTTGGTAATGGTGAGAATAGAAACAAAACTAGTAATTTCAAACTTTCAATAATCACTTCTCAAAATGTTCTGCAGGCTAAGAGTCTCACTCCTCAGGACTACAGTCTGAGATGGTCAGGCCTGTTAGTGACCGTGGGCGAAGTGCTTGAGAAGAGTATACTGAACGTCAACAGGACTGATTGGCACGTGGTATTCACTGGCATGTCCCGTCGACAGATGATCTACAGTGCAGCTAAGGCGCTAGCAGGAAT